GGGGAGGGGGGGGGGTGCATACAGACAGATGTGTAATGGGGACTTGCACCACACTGCGAGCTCAGTTTGTAAACCACCCCTAGTCGCTTCACCGCGCGCCACGGGAGGGTGGTGCGGCGGCCGCATGTGTATAGAACACTGTTGGGGGGCGCGGCGCGCTGCGGAGGCGAGGACGCGGAAACATGAATACAAATGGGGGAAAAGATTCAAAAGGGGCGCGCGGAGTGGGGCGCGGGGGCCGGGGGTTGTGGCAGAGGGGAAACCTACTACGCAGGAGGGGGAGCACAGCCCCGAGAAAAGCTAGACGAGACAGACTATAAACCTCGCGCCCCGCCCCACCCACGGACAACCGCCCCCTTTTCTCTCCAACTGCTTTTTCCCTACTCAACTCCCCCGCCCCGCCCTACCCCGCCCGAGCCCCACGTCAAGTCCTCCCCAACCCTCTTTAAATCAATCGGAGGATTATGAAGGACGGCGGTGAAAATCAGTTGGCGCTCTGCCACTCGGGCGGGAATCGGGCGCGTCGGGGCGACAAGGACAGGCTGTGCGAGGGAGCGAGAGAGGGAGGGAGTGGGGAAAGAGACAAAATATTACGAGGACCCACCACCCGAGCGCCAAGCGACACTGCCAACTGCAGCCATTACGGAAGCGGGAAACGAATCAACAAAAAAAAAAAAAAAAAAAAAAGGAGAGCGAGCGAGCGAGTTGGGGAGGCACCAAAGGGGATGCTGATTACAAAGGGGAGAAAAGAGAAAGGGGAGAAGGGAGAGTGGAGAGGAGGGGGATGAAAGAAAAGAGAGCAAAAGAGAGAGGCGCGGCCCCGCCCCGCTCCCCAGGGCAACTGTTTATACAAGGAGATCTGCCGCCACTGCTGCGACCGCTCCTACTGCTGCTACTGTGGCCCTCTTTCGTTTTTTCTCTCCCCCCCCCCCCCCCCTCTCCTTTTCCTTTCCCCTCACATCCCCTCTCCACTTTTTTTTGGCTCCGCCAATTTGCGGAGAAGGCCGCGTACAACAGTGGGGCGCCGAGTGCCACTGCTGGGCGGAGACAGATTCGCTCACGGTTCACGCTTTACTCCCCTGCTCCCTCCAGCTCCCCCCTTTTCTTTTCCTACTCTCTTTCTCTCTCCTCCCTGCACCCTCGAGCTCCGAGCCAGCGTGGCGTGTCAACTTTTATATAACGCAATCACATCTCCATTTTCACGCGCAGGCGGCGGCGCGGCCGTGAGCACCGGGCGGGAGTACACTGCCCCTCACCCAACCCCTCAGTTTCCAAACTCAAATAGACTTGTTTCAAAAATATGTTTCGTGTGCGACTTTTCAATGTTAAGAAACGCGTTCTTTTTATTGGCTTAGAAACGGTTTAAAATATTGTTTCTTTGTAGCGAACTGGACCTGATCGTTCGTGAAAACAATCTCACGCTTGCGTGATAAATTCCCCTCCCCCACTTTGCACATACATTTTTATCAACGTTACAGTATCGGCTTTTTTTCTACATATTTATTGCCTCAACCGCACCGAACACGCCCCCTTTTCGGGACGCGCACAATGTGATATACGGTACATCGCCATCATACAAAAACATGAGCTGGCTAAATTCCCGCGCGCGCTTCGACGTCAAAAAGAAAAGAGTGACAGCAGCAGGAGCATAGCAGCACGAGGAGCAGCTTGTGAACACAGCCCCGCCCGGCAGCCTGACACTACACCAGGCGCGGGGGAGGGGCCGGCGCCGGGGCTGGCGCCACTATAGCGGGCGTGACGTGGCGCTGCGCGCTGGCAGGTGGGTCTTTATAGACCAGGCCCACCCGCATTATGCTAATAGCAGACCCCGCGCCAGTCCCACCACTACTACTAGCGCTCCGCCCCGCCTCACCGCGCACACTCACGTGACGCAGCAGCGCGCGGCGCGCAACCCGGCCCGGCAACTTGGCAAATAATCACTTGTAAAACTTGGTCGACATGAGCCGGTGGGCATGGTGGGGCCGCGGCGGAGGGGGCGGGGAGGGAACAGCAGCGCAAGGAAGAGGAGGAGGAGGCTGGCCCGACTAACGACCCTATTACGGTAATTACCGCGTCAAAAGCACTTCAGCGCGCCTGTGGGCCTCCAGGCCTCCAGCACGGCCTCGGCTCCAGCGGGGCCGGGGCGGCCGGGGGGGCGCAACGCCACCCACCCCCTGCTCTTTTATCACGGCCATTCACAGAGGAGAGGCCCTCGGGGCGCGAGGCCCGGCTCTCACACACCACTGTCTCCTCCAACAACCTACCCAGCAGGCAACCCCCCATACCAAAGGTGCGGGCTGAATTTATGAGGTGGAGCGGACAAACATAAAAGGGTGCAAAACTGAACAGCCGGCTTCAAAAAAAGGTTCTGGGCGAAATGACGCATTTGATGAGTGTGGTGGGTTTCGGAACACTGGTGTGATGGGAAGGGAATTCTGGTTTCTAGAATATTCTCTGACAACTTCAAGGGACGTGGAGTGAATACTGACCTGGTGGCGGCTTGGCGTCCTGGTCGCGGTGCTCGGGCTTGGTGGCCTGCAGCATGGACAGCGGGTGCGACAGCCCGGGCAGACCAGGCAGCCCCGGCAGGCCCGGGTGGCTGGGGAAAGGCGGCGGGTGCGCGGCGTGCGGCATGGACGCGTGCATCTGTTGCTGCAAAGGAGAGAAAGAAAGAGCGTCGTTAGTCAGGATCACGATCACACTCTCGGAGCGCCCGCGAGGCCCCGGGTAGGCCGCCCGCCCCGGGCGGGTGACGCGCGGTTGCCTACCTCCCAGGCTGCACGCGGCCCAACCCACCCACCCAGCAGAAGCGTCACGTAAGGAGCACGCAACGCATCCCGTCTGCACGAACGAGCACACACGCATGCACACACGCACACACACACGCACACACACACTCACACAGACACACACGAGCTTCCGGCATCCCACTAGGCGTGTCCGGAGGCGGCGCCGGCGAGAATACGGCGCAGCGCCTAATTATGACGAAAATATGACAGAATAAGCGGCAGCCGGGAACTCGTTTGGGTGGCGCGCAGCAGCCGTCGGAGCGTGGCCGTGTGTCTGTGTGTGAGCGTGTGTGTCTGTGTGTGAGCGTGTGTGTCTGTGTGTGTGCGCGCGGCGCGCAAAGGAGTGCGAGAGTTATTAGCAGGCTACGTTTAATTGCATTAGCCAACGCTCACCAACGTCTGCCTGGCTGGGTGCCCCTCTCCTTCCCCCCCCCTTTCTTTTTCCCTGTTCTCTCTCCTACTCTCTTCTCTCTCTCTCCCACCCACCACCCTGCTCCCTCGTTCTTCTTCCCCCGCGCTCTGCTTTGGGTGTTGGAGTGCACCGCTCAAGTGGGCCGCGAGGAGGGTCTCTCTCTCTCGCTCTCTCTCTCTCTCTCTCGCTCTCCACCAGTCTGCAGTCTGCGTTCCAATTTGCCGCTCCAAGTTGCTCCGCTCGGCCCCGCCGCCACGGCCGCTGCAATGAGAGTTGTGGCGTGGCCCGGAGTGGCGGAGCGGCGCTCTCCGCTTCGAGTATTGCTTACAGACAGGCCCCCGCCCAACAGAGCGAGAGAGGGAGGGAGAGGGGGAGAGAGAGCAAAATAGAGAGAGAGAGACCTTTCATTAAAACACCCCCTCAACCTCACCGGCTCGGCGGCAACACCAAGCCCCCAGCAGACGTCAGTGATGAAGTGATCCCGAAATCAAATTACGAGTCATACACAGCGCGCGGCTCGGCTGCCACTCTCCGCCGCCGCCCCGCCCGCCCCTCCTGCCTTCTCTATGCGACGCCCTGCCGCCCCCGCCCCTTCTTCCCCCGGTAGCAGCATTGCCTACGTGACAGACGGGGCGCGAGGGAGGAGGGAAGCTCTCCGCCTCGGCGCCTGGAAGTGAGCGAACAGGATGGTGGTGCGGAGGCGCTCCCTTCCCACCCTCCCCGACGACAAGGGGATGCTCGCGCTCCGTCTGCCGAGCACAGCGCGCCGCACGACCCAATCAACATTCCAATCAGGAACTCCCTTATCGGCACTCTTCCCACCGCCGCGCGCTCTTTCACCCCCTAACTGAACCTCCTCTCCCTCTCCCCAGGGCGGCTCGCGGGCCACATCGCGGGCGCGGCGCCCCGGCTCGGTGGGTTCCCCCCTCCCTCCTGGGGGGAGGAAGGGCGCCGGGGGGTATTGCTTTGACAGCGGCGGGGTCCTCGACCCAAACTACCCCCGGGGCCCCCCACGGCGTCACGGCGAAAGACATCCTCTCAGTCCCTCCCAACTCCCCCCCCCCCAAC